CAATCATAAAAAGAAATCGACTCATATTCCATCTCCCTCTTCAATTCAAAATTTAAACTGGAAAACAACCACGAATTTTATTCTGTATCAATTAAAAAGAAAGAAATTTATATTTAAAACATATATAATTGTATTGACAGAATAAGTACCAATCCATTTATTTCATTTATTTTATCATTTTCTTTATTTGCCAATCAAACGCATCACGAGACTTAATATCCCAAGTAGAATCAGTGAATGCAGACTGACCGAAAACAAACCGAAACTACTGTCACGTCAAACATAACAATATAACGTTAGACATTCATTCAAATTCAAATGTTGTTTAAATTATGGTAAGCAATAAACACACATATATAAATTATGGTAAGCAATTTAATTTCATAATTATTTACTTTTAACAAATACATTCATATAATACATACAATAAAATACATTATTTCACCAACATTATTTACAATAAATTTTTGAAATTTAAACATATACAATATAAAAAACATATACAAAAAAAAATCTTCCATAAATAAACTTTTTAATAAAACAATAATTACAACTAATTAAAAATTACTCAAAATCAAAATTTTAACAACATATTAATAGAAACAAGAAAAAAAATTTACAAAAATGTTAATATTTCAAATTCAATATTTTAATATTCAATATTCTAATATTTCAATATTATGTAAATAATTGACCGAAACTATTCATACAACCAATATCAAAACTATCATAATTAATAAGCATATATAATGACACACTACACAATCCTATACACTACTACAATCATTAACACATTGACTGCGGCGTCGATCCCTAAGGATCAACATTGATCTTTTCGTTTGGCCAGCGGTCACTAGAAATTAACATTGCACTTTTCGTCTAGGTATCGGCCGATGATCATCGATCGACACTATCAAAATTATCAAATAAAATTGGTAATTCATAAAATATAAAAACGATATTTACATTTTTTCAAGTTTTCACATTTTTTATAATTTATTGAAACGGTCTATATAAATTTGGTTTTCTTTCACGTGTCGCAAAACGTTATGACGTAAGTTTACATTATGACATTTATTTATTTTGGTCTTTATACTTCCTTTCTTTATATATTAATCAAATTTCAGAAAAGGATTGGAACAGAATAGTCGCTGATCGTGTCATCTTTTGTTTACGTTCCATATGACCCAGTCGCATTCAACTCTTTGCGTCGGCCGAACGAAAAGCCGAAATTGATTCCGTAGTCGTGATAAATAATCAATGATACGATTCTAAAAAAGAAAAAAACTTAATAAAATGATATAAAAACAGAAATTATTGAAATAGTTACAATGAAAAATTATATTTCCAAAGAAAACAATTTACGTCACAGTTCTTGTCATGTTATGTTCGCTAGATTTATTAGATTTTCTTTTTTCCTCCGTTTTCTTCGTTTTATAAGGACGTAGTATTAACATAGTTTGACTTTCCTCAGATGCTTCCTGTACATTCTTTTTCAATCTCCATGATTGTATATCCAATCCTGTATTTTGATTTTCCGAAACTTCGTTACGATCGTGTTTTTCCTCTAAAATAAAATATAGTTATACATTTAACTTATCATTAAATATTAATATAATCAAATTCCTATTTTTTATTAAAATTCATTCTTGTTTCTCTCCTCAATTCATATTATTATTTAAATAATGCATACATAAAGAAAAATTATTACATTAGTTGCACTATTACTAATAAATTTCTCACAAACATTAAAGAAATATTTAAAGAATCTTTAAATGGAATCACTTATTTTAATATCGTTCTATATAATAATATAACTTTAATTAACTTTTATACAAACCTTCGATATCGTTAAATAAAATCTTCGATATCTTTGCAACGCTAATTTTTTTATCTCCCTTGTCACTTGTGTACTCTCTCTCGGTATTGTTATTAGTACGAAATATCGATTCGAGAACTTGTCGCGAAAGTATCGGTGATGTGGAATGTTTCCTTGTACGTGTATTATTTGTACTGGCTGGAACTTCGCATGAACCTATTTCATTATCACATATGCTTGCTGTAGACATGCTGTCCGTAATCAACTTTTCGGTATCTGAATCACCAGTATTGCTATAGTAATTATTACTGCTATCAGATTTCTTCAGAATTGATTTAGACACTCGGTAATGGTCTGTGCAAGGTATACCGCCGCTATTTATCGAATCTGCAGATAATGAAAACTTATTCTCGATGGTCGCTTCTGAAACAAATTTTACTACATTGTATTTTACGTAACAATCACCAAACAATTATAATTATTAAATTGCAAATTTTTTGGATCAATCTGTATCAGTTTTCTTTACGATTATTTTATTTTCGTTATATATAATTTATAATATCGTATATTTCTATATAAATGTTAGACTAGAATTCACAAACTTTCTTATTATTATAATTACACAAGAGTGTGTATTTTATTTCTCATAAATATAATTCATTTATTCATTAATATATTAAATCATTAATGTATTCCGTAGAAAAAGAATATTATCCTAAAAAAAAAAAAGAAAAGATAAAAATATACCATTTATAATGTTTCACATCAACTTGACATCAATTATTAATTTCAAATCTTTTATACAAATGATAAATACTATTTGGATTGAATATATAACTGATGTCAGTAGTTGATAATAATATTTTTAATTTTTTACATACACTTTGCGCACGTGGCCACATTTTTTACTTTTTCATAAAAAGATAATTTTGTTATGATTAATATTGTCATAGCAACTGTTATTACTGGGCTGCGTTCCGATTCTCCACCCGAATGAACTCGCTGCATTGGAATGAAAGAGATACAAGAGTGAAATAAAGAGAGAAAGAAAGCATGGGGTGAGGAATTCGAACGCAGCCCTGTATTTATTTGATTCATATGATAAAACTTCGCGATAAAGTTATTCGATAAAAACATTTGTTGTTCCAACAATAAAATTGAATTTATCGATGAATTGCATATACCAATTATTTATTCAGTTCTGACAATGTTAAACGATCGCTAATCTTATTTTTAATGTGTCGAGATAAATATCATAAAACCTCAGAAATTTAGAAATGTAGCCAATTGATAATAAAATGTATAAAATTTACCTTTGTAATATTTTGATGCACCGAGGGATTCGATCAAATGATAATTGATTATACGCGTTGATCCCAGACTATTTGTTGATACGAGTGGAGAATGTTTGCCACCACGTAGTCCTCCATAATGATTATTATTGTCCTCTCCAGTATTATTTTCCTTCAAGATACCGCGAACTATTATATTCTCTTGATCCTTGCCAAATTGTGTCCGTGATTTTATGCTCTGTATAATTTAAAATTAAATTTTAATTTTAATATTGTTTCTATCTTAATAGCATAATGTATCAGCGAGACATTAGTAAACAATATGCTACAAATATGATCAAATTTTTAAAACACGCTCTTCTGAACACATTAAAATTTAAAACAAATTAAATTTTCTTAATTTCGTTATTTATATTATTATTTCCAATCGTTATGTTCGAGATAAAAACATATAAAAACAAGAACAATAATATAACATGTTTTTATGCATAATATGGCATGGTTTGTTATATCCAATAAACGGAGATAAGAGATTCTCATACTTCTATTATACTATTTTATTATACTTTATTACTGTTATACTATATCTCAAACATATGGATAGATACATTAAAACAAATTTTCATAATATTATTCAGATTAACTACGTTCTGTGTGTGTGTGTGTGTGTGTGTGTGTGTTGTGTAGTTGTGTTGTGTTGTGTGTTAGTGTTTTACTTATTTATAGTTAATAACTTAATTAACTTTTAAATTTAATTAAAACTTTAAATTTAATTAAAAAGTTTTAAAAATTTAAAAGTTAACTAACTATATATAATATATAGTATATAAAATATAATTTATTTATTATATATAGTAGTAGTAGTTTGTTAGTGTGTATGTAGTGTATGTATGTTAGTATGTATAGTATATATATATATATATATATATATATATATATATATATCACGATAAAATTACTTTTTTATTAAAAAATGTCGCCAAATGTACGCACAATGTGTACGTGAAAAATTAAAAATGTTATCAATTGATACTGATGACAGTTATATATTCAATTCAAATAACATACATTATTTGTACAAAAGATTTGATATCAATAAATGTGGCACCAAATTATAATCCCATGACATTACCTCGAATTATAAATATATTAATCAATTAAATAATATGTATATCATTTGTATAAAAGATTTGATATCGATAAATGTGGCGCCAATAATCTCATTATCTCATCAATTAAATATGTATCCTCTTTTGAAAAATAAAACCGAAGTGATACATATCTTTGTATTTTCATTGAAGAGTTCTTCTTATTCTAACCCAAGTGATAGTAGCTCTAATTCTCTTTAAAAATGTAATAATAATCATAAAGTTATTCAACTTAAATACTATATATTCAATTCAAGTAATAGTAGTTTTCATTCTATCTAAATGTATAACATTCTGGTGTATGTTTCCATACACCATAGTATTTTTAATTTAAATACATGTACATTAATTCTTTCAATAATTATTTAAATCGAATAAAAGATTTAATTACAAAAAATTAAAGAGATAGCAGAACAAAATGAAAAAATTTAATTTGAATAAAAAAATTTTTATGGAAAAGAACAGTTTAATTGCTTTCCGATTTAGTTGCTTTTTTCGTATTTATATAAAATTAAAATTGAAAAGATTGAAAGTAGTCAGTGATTATAATTGTTGCTCATACTTTCTTAATTATTATTAATTTATCACGTTCCCCTATATATTCTTATTTTTTTTTAATCAGTTTATTTATTAACAATATTTAACCACATAATAAATAGAAGTACAGCACAATAAATAGAAATTTGCATAAAATAAATTAATATTTTTTAAAATAAGTATAATGAAATAATAATTTTTGAAGAACTTACTTGTGGGATTCTTATTTTCCTATGCTTAGGTATGATATCATTTAAATTAGCTTTGCTGATCTCTTTTAGAGATTCAGTACTAGGCGACATATCGGTAATGAGATTTCGACCGACTTCGCCAGAAATAGATTTTTTCATCTGATCAGTTCTGCATTTCTCTGTTGCCTCCAAAGGATTTATATAAAGATTACTGTCCGTTTCTTCAATCAAATCACCCTATGAAAGCAAAAGAAGCTTTTCACTGTTAAATTTTAGAATTCTGAAGCGCAACTTGTTATGAAAATGATAAATATCTTTGCATGCACATGAATAACCTAGTAATAATACACCGAAAGAATAGTTCTTCTAAAATATATAAAAATTTGACCAAATACAAATTTGAAAATAATTTTGATCATACTAAAATAATTATTTAAGCATGATAATAATACTATATAAACTTTTTATATTCTTAATAAATATGATAATATCGTATCTCATTCTCAATTATTATTAAATTTTTTTTCAATCATGATATCCATAAATCAGTGAAACAAAGCAGATGAGCCATTGATTGACAAATCACGAACAATAAGGAAAAGACGATGGATATCCTCGGAAGGACTGGAAGTTGCATCTCGATCATTGTCCTATATTTTTAACTGTTTACGCTTCTTTCTTAAATCTTTCAATTAAAATTTAATTTATTAAAACTTTCTGATTTAGAGTGGTATGGTTTTCTCATGCCTAATATACAACGTATTTCATAAATGAAGTAATTAAAATGTTAAAGTATTAAAATGTTTAGACATATCGATGACTATGAAAACGCTATAAACTACACAGTCATCAATCACGAAAATCGTTCTCTGCTTATTTATCGCAAGTGCAATTACAGATTTTAATATCGTTATTGTATGTTAATTATCATATTATATGTTAATGTGTAATGCTATATGTGTCAAAAATTAATCTGTTGTTAATTACATAATATCGTTTGACATACCTGAGAATATGATGGGTGTGTTTGACAACTTGCATATGTATCAGAACTATCGACACTTCCCTGTTCATTATATGCCTTTGTATAGCTTTCCTGTTCATTGTACATTTTCACAAAACTCAATGTTTCCAATGGCTGAATAGGAGATATCTTTGATTCTGTAAGTGTTGAATTGAAATGTTCTATACCATTTCCACTTCCGCCATTACCACTGCTGTTACTCAGTCTGAAAGATCTCATTTCTTGACACACTGGATTACGAAAATCACTGGTAGCAAGGGGCATTATATTTTCCGCATCTCTGAAGTCTTTGTATTCCTAAAAACACAAAATTGATAAAAAGTTGTGAAAGACAAATATATTGAAAGCGATATTTTAGCCTAGATTTTATGCAACTTCCCAAATACTTTTTTATCAAATTAAAACTCTTTTCTGAAAATAACTTATGTCTTTGTAGATTTTTCTCAAGTTTTAACATAATTTAAGATTAGTTTCATAAATTTTTTTTTATAAATGTGAACGTCTAGAAAAATATTAACAAGAGAAAACGTAAATATGTTAAATGCTTTCTTATATTATGAATTTTATTATTGTAACATTAGTTAACATTAGTCTAAAATGTTTTACCTGTTTAAATCAGGTGAAATTATAATACACATAGAAAAAATAATATATAGCTAATTCGCAATTCTCAATTATAATAATTGAGAACTGAGAATCAATCTCGTACGCGAAGAAATACGCTCATTTCGTCAATAATAGGTATATTTATTATAATAAATAATCTAAAGTTAGCTTAGTAATCTAATAGTAATTCATAAATAAAAACTATGAACTTTCCCCACCCCCTTTTCTTTCTTTTTCAACCTTCCATCTTCTTTCTGTTTTTTCTTTTTCTCTTATTTACTCACTTCATTTAGTCACTATCTCTACATGATATGAAACTGAGTCTAGCAATATATTGCCATGAGAAGATAATTTATTATGTATTTGTCTCATTATTTTCATATGCACGGATATGCATCAGATCGATGATATAATTGTACACATATACTTAAGAAAGTTATTTTACTATGTATTTAATAGCTTTCTACAATAAGCTTTTAGTAATAGATTAAAAGTTGGAAGCGAGTTGTAAGCGAATCAGTAATGTGTCATAAGCAATAATAAATCAATAATCAGTAACTGTGGGGAGATGGCCAAATTCTATCTCTTACGATTTAAAAGTTAGATTACATTGTGATTAACTAATTAAAAAGCAATATGTATCCGCCATTTTCATCGAAAGAATCAGAACTGAGTGAGTGTAAGTTGTTGTGCATAAAGCGTATTATGTTTAAAAATAGAATTTCTACATTTTAAAGAAACGAATGATTTAGAACTTATTAAGCTTATTGAAGCAAATAATTGCCTGTATAATAAAAAAGTTCGAGAATTTAAGATTGTTGACATAAGAACCTAATATGACTTATTGCAGATGTAATTTCCTAACATTTTATGACTTACTATTCTGACTTATTACTAGTGCAATATGAATAGTAACTTATAATAATACTATAATAATACTTATAATAATACTTGTAATAATACTAATAACTTATTATAAAAAAAACCACTAAGATTTCATCCCTAAAGCTATCAAGAGAATTGTGATTTGTGCCAAATGTGCATGCCAGCATCTTGCACGTCAAGAGTAGCTCATATAAATTCATCAATAAAATAAATACATAGGTAAAATTATATTAAAATTTAGCATAACTTCAAATAAATAAAACTCTATGAAAAATTATTATATTTGAAAGTTTTTTGCACTTTCAAAGATAAAGTATATACTTTGTACAACATTAATTGTCGTTTGATTCAATTTTTCCCTCATCCCGTCACCTTTTAAGAAGTAAAAACGTGTTCGTTTTCTAAAAAAAAATTGCATGGTATTGTATGGAACAAAATGAATTCTTCTTTTCGCAAATATCATCGTAATCGTAATTGTAATAAAATCGTTGTAAAATTTAAACTTTTTCCTACCAATTAAAAAAAAAGATTGTGTTTTTTGCGGAGCAAAACACAGCGTGTCCTATGCATTTTTACTTATAATCAACCGCCAGCATTAGTATTACGATGCACACTACGGGGAGATTGATGGTGGGACTTTGTACATCGTTTGTGTGTATATGGTGTGTGTACGCGCGCGCGCGCGTGTACGTGCGCGCGTGCGTGTGTGTGTGTTTTGGGAAAAGAATTTGTGTATGTTTCATTAAAAATTATGTATTCCCGCTTCGTATTGAACGATATCGTAAACGCCCCCGCATATAATGCATGGGTTTGTGACTGAGTCAAATTGTATTTTGACTTAAGTAGTATACTATGTCGGTTCTAATCCGCGAGCTCCGAGAGAGATGCGGATATGCGGGGAAACTCATAGATGCCGTGAAGGAAGGAGGAAACACTTTGTCAGTTCTTTGAAATGTGCCGCCGAGAAGTGTGGAGATGTGGAAGTTTAGATAAGCTAATAGAAGCTATAAACAATTGTGGCACAGCGAAGCGCCGATAATTCGGCTGCTATAAACAAATTGCGACTCGGAGAACTATAAGCAAATTGCGACTCAGTAACCCTGCCGCTAACTGCGCGCGATCCGCGGGGCCAGAACATGACGTCACAGGGCGTGCGGTCCGCGGGGCCCACGTCCGCGCCGCTGCCCGCTGCTGCCCACCACCCACCGCCCGTCGCCCGCTATTGCCACCACTGCCATGTTCTCATTTAATATATTTATTATCTTCTCTTTTCCTTTCGTTGTGCTCTTCCTATTGGACACGTATACCTATTATTTTCTCTCTCTCTCTCTCTCTGTCTGTCTCTCTCTCTCTCTCTCTCTCTCTCTTCCCCCCCCCCCACCTCCCGTTGCGGCTCTGTCTTACAAATCTTCAAACCTATTCTTTTTTTCAGATAATTATTTTTTATGGCAGAGGAAAGGAATAAAAAAGAACATATTTTGTATATTATAGAGTGAGTAAAAAGTCTCGGGCCGATGAAATATCTCGAAAACTAAGCATTTCCAAAAGAAATGTTTCCTACAAAAGTTGTAAGGTTTTAAATGATCTATTCATTAATCTGATCAATCTGACCTAAGGTGGCGTCGCCAAGATCAAGTCAAGGTCACATTGATTTTTTTAAACGGCACACCTTATTTTTGATTCCAGAATCTAATAGCTGATGTCAAGAGCTTTTCAAAACACTGCAATAAAGTTAGTTTTCATAAAGTACTTTTCGAGTTATGAGGCTTGAATGTTACAGCACCACTGGCATTTTCCCGTGCTTAACATTATCCAGGGTGAACGACATGGACATGGCGGGGCTCTCGTCCCTTTGAGGTGCTTGATTGATGTGAGTCCCCTTGCCTCTCACGTTTGGAGTGCTTGATTTACGTGATTCTCCTTGCCTCTCACGTGTGTGTGCGTTTGCATGCTCCTAAATTTAAGACTCAAAGCAGGAATTTGTCTTCATGTATAATATGTATATATGCGTGTATGCATGCATGCGCACATGCGTGTAAGTTTATATAAATAAGCAAAGAGAAAGAAATGCATGCATACATGCAGAGAAGTGTAAAAGTAAATGGTTAAATATGTAAATCAATTTTAAAGTGCAAGTATACTTGATTTTTATTATTAAAGATATCATAATTACAAAAATAGATCTTTTTGAGGGACCTGAATAAATACAAATTTATATTATAGGTAACAGATAGCACTTTAAAGTGGCGTAAATGAAATTGCCAAAAAAATCTATTTTGACCGCAAAAAAATATGAGCAAATATGATCAAAAACTCCAATTTTGGCACACTTAATCTCAACTTTCTCGGGAATCTTACGTGATAGGCCAATTTCGCTGCCGGATTCGTTTTCAGCGAACAAAAATCCATCGGAAAACACTTTGTTTTCAGGTCCCATTAAAGTGTT